GGCAACCTTCATTATGAAAGTTGCTGTTTTCATTATTTTCCTCGGCAAGGTGGAGGCGATGTCAGGATGCGAGGATGTCAGGAGGCCAGCACCCACCACAACAACAACTAATCTACATTTAAAACGCGGCTGCTGGCTGAAAACAGGGAATTGTGGGGTAGCACAGAAAAAAATTCAAAAATAGATAAATACAAAATTTATCAAAATATGAACCATTTTTCTTTTAAGCCAAAAGGATATAGCTTTCCTAGATCCAATATTTTGAGTCTTTATTTTCCAAATGCAATCTTTTCTTACCGAAAATCATTTTATTTTAAGCTTGATATGGCCTTTCTTTTATTTTATTAAGATTTTAAAAGTACTTTCGGAATTTCACAAATAATTTTAATTATGGTCTTCTCAAAAAAAGCTTCTTAACTAGATTATCTTTTGATGACTTTTAAAACCCTGTGGTTATTCAACACAACTGACTTTCCAGTATAACTTTTTCCTTTAGTAAAGTATTTAAAATAGTATCTAGAATTGTCCTCTTATATTTCTCAGTGCCAAAATTGGAAGGACAGAGTGTGATTAGAGTGGGCAAGGGGCTTACGGTTAGCATGTTTTATTTTTGCACCCTGAAGGCATTTGCCGAAAGGATTCATCTTACGACATTAGTGACCTCGGCAACTGCGCACAAACATGCGGCAGCGGAAGGATAATCAGGCAAAGGAGAGGGGTGGAGGGGAGTGGGTGGTCCTGGGAGGTGGGAAGGGGTCATCTGCTTTGTTGTGCTCTCCTAGTGCAAATATAAGTTTACCCATAATGGCTGCCAACGGCAGCAGCAAAGTAAAATGGGAAGTGGGTGCAGCACTTGCCTTGTACCTTGGGGTACAATCTGCCACAAATACTAGCTAGCAACCACCCGGGCTTTTCCCCTTTTCCCCCCCGCTTTCCCATTTCCCCTTTACCATTTTCCACCGCCTTTGTGGGGTGTCAAAGTTGCGGGCATCTTCTGCTGACTGCGTCACGTAGCCGGGCTTCCGATGCCGTAGTCTCCTCATTTATTTTACTTAATTGTCAAGTCGGAATTCTGAAAGGGTTGTCAGCACACTTGCCACCCCCAGGTTCCCCATTCAACCTTACTTAAGTTGAAATTTTCGTTACGCTCTTGCTTCAATGCTTTTTGTCGGGATTTAATTTTGGGTTAAGAGAGAGAAAAGCAGGAAGTACGAGAATAAGTACTTTAAATGCTGGCATAAGCGAACTGGGAGATCCATTAGAAACTTTAATTTCTTTATCAATTTGGGCATCCTTTGTGGCACATTCCATGCCATTTCATTTCATTTTCGAAAAACCACTCTGCGAAAGTTCGGCAACCAGTGCAAATCAGTGCACTCGCCCACTTCTGGTAGCTAGTAGCAACTGTGTTTTTGGCCCAAAAAGTGCTCACCAAACCACCCACCCACCAACCCACCAACCCACCAAGCCACCAACCCACAGGCACCGCGAACTACCATGCGAACCACTATCTGAGTGGAGCCAACACCAACCTGAACAGCCAGCATAGGGAGACAGACAAAGTTTTGGAACAGCTGCCCGATGTACAATATAAATGTGGTTTTCATATTTTTGTGGTTCACTTCAGAGAGAGCTGGCCCGAACTGGCTCCTACGGCGTCCATAATGAAAGCCATTCATAAAACTTTAGCTAAATACGAACATTCATTATAAAATAATTTCGCCGAAATTCGTAAAATCGGATGGCATCAGAAGGGGCAAGTGGGGCAGCCAAATGGAGGGGCAACGTTGGCAAAACTCTGGTCTGTGGCATAAAATTTACATGCAGAGTGAAAAAGTTATGCACTGAACTAAAAGATAATAACCAATCCATGGTGTGTGTGCCATGCTGCTTCATTAAACTTCTGTTTGTATTGCGAGCGGTTTCGCTGCCAAAAAAAGGACACGATTTCATTAACCCCACCCGGCATTTTGGCTGTCCAGATCGGACTTCGTGTTAAGTGAGTGCACTGTTTCTAGAAAGAATTTCAATCAAAATGAATTCTGGATGCCACAGAAATGTCTTGTATTCGTAGAAATATTTTAGCCAAATATTGGAGTAAAAGAAAAGGTTGCTGAAACTATGAAGAATTTAATTAGAATGTAGTAGTTTATATACCATTTTATTACAAGTCCACTAAAATATTTTACAATTTCTAGAGATGAAGGGCGTGCAAGTTTAAAAAACGGTCAATACAGATTTAGTTTTAAATAAGCCGGGCCCTAAACAATCCACTAATCTCTCTCTGTAAAAACTTGTATACCCCCAAAAAGTTTTAAAAACTTTGGAGTTTTTACGATAACGCCAGAGCATCTCGTTTTAAGAACGGCCCGGGTTGGATATATGTATAGAATGAGTGCCACATTTGCATAACATTATTTCAAGAAAGCATCTCCATAAATCTTTGGCCCCCAGAGAGAATGAGAAAGAGTGATGGGTTTGGCCAGGTCCTGACCTTAGAAGCACTACGTGACTGGCCGTAATGAACAGCTTCCTTTCGCCGGCTCTAATCCATTACTAAATTAAACATAACACTAAATATAAATAAATAGCTAGACAGCGTGACAGCAAACAGACCGAGAGGAAGTAAAAGTGCTCAGGACTCGAAGGGGAAGTGGATGTCCAACCTCAGCAGCTGGTGGTGCGGGTGCTTTGAAAAGGAGACTCCCCAGCTGCTGGAGACAGCTAAGAACCCTTTCTAATTTGCCTAAAACACAAACAGTCCGGGGCCGGGCCTCAAACTTGTGTCTGTCAAACAATAAATCATCAGGACCTCTGCCCCCATTCTCCCAGGCGAATGGAGACCTTTAATTATATGCCCTGCGTAGGCTCAAGTGTGTTTTGAAACTAAATCTGCCACCCGGGCCAACCTCATTGGCGCCCAAAACAATTAAACCCTTTTCCGTTCCGTTTTACTTTGTTCAACCTACCGCCCGTCCGCTTTATTTGGTGGCGATTCCTTGATGGCCTGCCATTTTTATGTGGCCAGGGTCAGGGCATTTGCATTCCAAGTAAGCTTAAAAAATTAATGACATTAAGAAGTTGGGTCCTTGGGGGGTCTGAAATGGCCTCGCCTGAGCTGGGCTGCCATTTCATTGCCGGATCAAATTGCTAAACCAACTAAAGGGACGAGGGCGAAGCGCCTTTCTTATTAATGTTCTTTGTTTGACTTGGCTTGTGTTAACCCCTTGACAACGCCCGGATCGATGTCGAGCGGAAATTTCCTCGAATTATTTAAATTTTAAAGTAGCAAGACCAAAGTGCCAGAGTGCAGCCGCATCCGCAGCGAACATCCATGTTCATACAACATTTCAAATTGCACTAATTGCAAACAAATTTTCTAGTAAATTACCTTTTGCAACATAGCAGCGAAAACGCCAAAAAGGATGTGGAAGCCAGACCACAAATTATATATTTTTAGAATTTTAATAGCACGGGAACCAAGCTGGAGGACAGATGAAAGTGGAGCCGGTCGGGAAACTCAATCTTTTACTAGTGGTAGGGATTCTGTGAGGCAAAGCTGGCAGGGAGGACAAACGCTGCTCATATTAGCTCTGAAACATATTCATAATTATTATTCCTGGAAGCGTAAACCAAAACTTTCCTACTGCGGTAAGTTGAGCTCCTCACGAGCGACCCATGCGGATAAAGTTTAGTCTCGTGGGTCGGACAAATCTATTTTTGAGAAAATATTTCACCAGGGAATGCAGCTTACATTGTGTACGCTAAATATTTGAATGCAAGCCAACAAATGCTTGGATGAATAAAAATAATGTGGGAAGTTAGTAATTTACCATATTTCAGGGAACAAACCAAAGTCCAATTATATTATTGCAAAATAACTATGTGGGTGTGGGTGGGTACATATTTTGTAAATGTCTATTAATAAATATATTTACTGAAAGGCCACATTAGAGCACCAATTCTAACTAAAATTCAAAAAAATAGACCTAAATTTTATCTTAATTTAAATCGAAGTTCGCGGGGAGTTAAATGTTTTGTATATAATTTGTATAGTATAATTCCAAGTCTTATAATAATGTATTAAGTATAAAATAAATAAAGTCTTTATTTGTCTTTGAAAAATCGAAAAGACTGTTTTGCCAAATTTTTGATTAATTTATATTGAATCAAACCAAATTTATTTGATCTTATAAGTCTTACTTATGAATATCCAAAAGGTGCATTTGACTTAGGCGTGCACCTAAAAAACTGTTAGTTAAATCATTAGTACGGCAAACATTATGCTGAATTAGGTTTCCATTTTGTAATACTAATAATTACATAATTTCATGAAATTCTTAGCTCTAACTCCGTAACCTTTAACCCTACTCCAAGTGCGGGTCCCATTTTGGAATGTCCAGGTCGGAGGGCGCACGCGTGCTGGTCGCACTTAAGGGATGGTGCCTGTCCCGGACGCAGATAGCCCATCCCACTTCGGGGTGCAGATCAATTAACCCTTGACTCCTGACTCTTGAGGCCGTATCCCGTATCGGAATGAGACACCCCAATTAGCGGGATTGCCAAAAAATCTCCAAGTGTTGCTTGTGTTGCATAACTTTGAGGATCTGTAGATATAGTCCGTTGTCCTTGGTGTCTGAACTAATACTTTTCATAGAGAAGCAAACCAGTTTGGCAGGCTTTTTAGTTCCCAGGCAAATGGCATCCCCCTCCCCCTTTCAGGCACCCTTGTCAAGGTTATTAACCGAAATTGTTTTGGGAAAAGGCTGAAAGGGTGAACCGGGTGAAAAAGGTGAGGCGCTGCTTGATGGTCAGAAACCAGTTTGAAGACAACGCGAAGATCTTCCGTCATCAATTGTTGGTCGAACAAAAGAAAATCTCTGGCTGAAAAATGAATATTTTCACCCAAATCCGCAGATTGAAACTGGTTCTGAAAAGAGGATCTCTTTCGGGTCCGAGCTTTTTGGCCAACCTCCGGGCAGATCAGTTGGAATTTAGCTGCGAACGCGATGTGATCGAAGCGGAACTGAACGCGGGATTTCCTCTACTTTCGCCTGATCCTGGTGAGTGTCCGCCGAAAATTGGGGATTCCCCTCTGAAAAAAAAAAAAAACGAAAACTATCCAATTTAATGGGAAACTGCGGGCGGAAGTCGCTTAAAGGACACTTTCGTCAGACCGCAGGAGAAAGGAGAATGGAGAGAGCGAGAAAAGGGTTACAAGGTTACTGAAACGACCTTCGCCTTCGCCTAAAAAAAACCCAAGCTAGACCAGAACGGAGCAAAACAAAACACGAAACGCAGCAGCATAGAAAAAATTGTTGCCGCTTTCCTTTTCCTTCCTGGCGCGTCCACATATCGCATATTTTTTGCCGTTTCTCCTTTTCGGCGACCGCTTTCTCTCCTTTCGCCCCTCTCCTTTCTCCCCGTGTCGTAAATTTCGCAAAAAATATATTTTCTAACAACCCAAACAAACAAATGGCAGCATGCAAAAAATACAAATCCCGACCCCCGCACAAAAGTCGCGCGAAAAAATAAGCAAAACCCACCAGGACATGTGTGTGTGTGTGTGTGTGTATTTCAGTGTGGGCGAGAGGATATAGAAAAAATATATTATAAATGTGAATAAGCTGAGCGACTACTCTGTGGGCGAAGTGATGTCTTTTTTTAAATATTCTTTTTTTAGACACCATTGTAGGTCTGACTTTGTGTCGGTCGCTTTATATTTGTTTGATTAGAATCCAGGGGTCGATTACCGGCAGGAGTTTTAATTCGTTATTAATTGGCGCGGATCCGATTTATTTCCAATGCGGTTGACTCCATTTACCCTCGATATTTTTTGATTCGAGTCAGCAAACAAAGACAGATATGAAGAAGGGAAGGAGATTGGGTCTAAAGTCCATTGATCTGGGATTAGGTTTCCATTCTATCCTTATTTAGAAGTGAAATTCTTTTAAACAACGACAAATTGTGAACGGTTGGCTTTAAAAAGTTAAAAAGACTTCAAACTTTCAATATATTTGTAGACTTAAAAAAGTAATAGATGTATTTAAAGATACTAACTAACTTTGTAAGTGTCCTTGCTATTGTTGATACTAAGTTCGTTTGGACCTTACACTTTAATCTCTTTGCATTCAAACAATAATTAAAATTTATTGTTGGCTGAAGCTATCTAGTTTTTAATTTCAATGAGCTATTAAAAATATCTTGACGTACTTAAGTTATAAACAAATGAAGTTTCTTAAGCATTAATTATGAATGAATATGTAGGAAATAATGATTAAATGTTCGTATTGATATAAGTTTTATTTTAAAGGAAATTTTAATAGTAGTTCGATAAACCATACTTATTATCAGTGTTTACAAGCAACTAAACAGATTAAGGCTTTTAGATCCTTTTTGAATAACGAAACGAGCTATAAATGAATACACCCTAATTGAAACTCTATCAAAACAAACCCCCAATTTAAAGTTTATAAGATAAAATGTCTTAACGGCATATTCAATTACTCCAAAATGTTTTCACATCATCGTTTGTTGATTGAAGATTATAGCTTCAAATATTTTTAGCTTGGGAAACGTTGAAGTGGGAAAAGTTAAGGAAAGTGGGCGGTGGATGGAGTCAATTGCCTGAGCTCGAGGTCCCGAAAAGGGGCTTGAGTTGGAGTCCCAAACCAAGTGGGATTTAAGGTGGGGGGGGTTGAGAAAAAGTAAGCAGCATAAAACTGCAGCAGGCACCCGATTGGCTTTGGCCACGCACACAAATTGTGCATATAGAGTGCAACTTTTAGCACCAACCGAATGCAGTTCCACACACACACACACAATGGCCGGCATCTGCATGTATGCATGCATGTATATACATAGAGAAAAAAGAGTGGCAAGTGAATATTTGTTGTACATGGCCAGCCGAAGCGAAGGGAAATCAAAAACAGAAACAGGGACGAAAATAAAAGCCAAATAAAAACAGTGCAAAAATGCCAAAAACTGTCGTAGAAAAATGCACTTTTTCTGGGTGTGGCAAAATGGAAAAATAGCAGCGACGTCGACGCGGGCAGAGGTGCATTAGAGCCGAGGAGTTTTGAGCTGCTGCAGCTTCATGATGGCTGCCTAAAATGGCAGCATGCAGTTTTACACCCACCCACCCACACGTCCAACCACTTGTACCCCCACCTACACTTTTTTTTTGCCTTGCGCATTTTTAGTTGGTGCAGGCGGAATGCATTTTTACTCCCTTTTTGTGCAACGGTATATAAAGGTCCTGCGTCTGTGTCGGTGCGTATCCCTATTTGGTATCCTAAAAAAGTACACAAAATTTTGGTGCGCCGGCAGCGCAGTCGGCAGCGACGTCGGCCGCACAAACACGCCCATGTTTTATGTACAAGGTGAGGGAGGGGGGAGGTGAGGAATCCCTTTACATGCGCAGCCCCGCTATGTGTGTGTGTGTGTTTGAGCCGTGCAAAAAGGAAGCAAAAAGCGAGAGGCAAAACACTAAAACTAATGCGCGAGAAAGAGAAACAGACATTAGAAAAACGCTGCGCATTGGTGTTGGTGAGCGAGCCGAAACGTCCTCGTTGCGCAGCGAGAGAGCGAGAGAGTCAGCGACCGAGCGAGAGAGAGCGGCTGCAGCAGGACGAAGGACGAAGTGGGTGGCAGCCTCTAGAGGAAGTGGGTGGCTTCTACTACAACTTTAAATCGAATAGAAAAATTGATTTTCTATAGATTGCAGGACTGAAACTTAGAATATTTAATATTCCTTACTATCCTTTAGCTGGAAGTTAATGCATCTTCAATATATCCTTACTTTGTTAAATCTTCTAAGACTTCTTCTTCAGCTGCATCCTTTTTTTTTCTATATACCCAACCAAATAAACCCGAAGCTGCAATCGGAATCGGACTCGAGTTCTCGACATTAGCCGCACAAACAAAAATCCCAGGAAAAATTCTCCTTTTTCACTCGCATTTTTCCACTTGCATGTGTTTGTGTTTGTATTAGCATATGTACAATCACACAAACGCAGGGATATAATTTAAACGGCTTTTCTCTCCTTTTTCACTTGCCAGGATGCGTGTGTTTGGTCTTCGTTTTATGTTGGGCAACCTTAGAAGTTAATGGTGCGTATGCGTGATTGAGTTGGGAGTGTAACACGATATGACTAAGGAACAGGGAAGTGGAGTCCAGGTTAATCAGAATTATCCGAGAGTTTTGGGTTTAAAAATACAAAGCCACCCTTCAGATCCCTTTTGATCTTTTAAAAGTTTTGCAATTCGGGTGATCGAAATATATTATTAATAAATATACAACTTTAAACAGAAATGTCAAAACTAACAGCGGATTTTTAAAGCAAGCCTGTTTGAATGGAATTTCATAAACAGAATATTTGTAGATTTATTTAAAATTTGACAACCTACAGATTTAACAAGTTATATAGCGATTAATTGTATCTTAGTTCAACTATTTTTTTACTATTTCTGGCATTTTATAGAGAATCTTTAATTACAATCAATAGCCCCAAACAAGAGTCCCCATTTTAAAATGCTTTAAAATACCATAGCGAGCAGCTATTTCATCCCGCCATGATCTATAGACCTAGCTGAATGGGGAGCACAAGAGCGTGCAATTTAATTTCAAATAAATTAAAGACTATTCACATGGCCAGATTAAAAGCGAACTCGTTCTCACAAAACAACAACACAGTCAGCCCCGAAATGACCGGCATTGTTTTTGCCCCAGGATCTCAACCGCGTCACCATAATAAACGTAACTATAATACAAAACAAACACATAACCGAAACAATCTAAATATGGCGAGAATTTATGTATTGATTTTCATTAATAATTTTCGGCTGATGCTGTTGTTGTTGCTATGGTTTTTGCCGGGGCTCAGTATCCTCTATCGATGCTCTAGTCCTGGCCGTGGCATTTTTCCAATTTGGGCTCCGCTGGACGCCGGCAAATTGAAAATTTTCCAAAAACAAAACAAAACAAAGCAGCTGGTGGAGTAGGAGAGCGACGGCGGTGGCAGTTGGGCAAGTGCATCATTTTTCATCAAAAAATTTTGGGGACGAAATGGGCAAACAAACGAAAACGATTTCGACCATGGCCAGAGGCCAACATCGGCTGCAGCTGCAATGGCAGTAGCTCTGGGTTATGCATCATAACTATATGTGGCAGGGGTTCGACTAGGCTGCATAAATCTATGGATTTCAGGAGGACTGCACCCACCTCCCGCTGATTCCGTTGCTGCTCCTGATGCACCTTTGATATGCAATTTATGCATGTCATCTGCGCTGCGTCTGCGTCCATTGTCCTGCGAGTGGCAAGGGGGATGGGATGGGTTAGGGAGAGTCCTAAGCACAACACCCACGCACCCAAATCCTTTTTTGCTGCCAATTTATAGGCCTCCACCCAGTGCAATGTTATTTTTGGATCTCTCGTGTAGGAGTGTGTATGTGCATTGCGTTTTTCCGGCTTGCCTATTTGCATTGTCGGCCAGGCGATGGCAATGACGATGGCGACGGGAAAGGCTGCAATGTTTGCCCTTTGGTTTTGCAGTGGCGTAAAGCCCTCCCACACTGCTGCCGGGCCAGGAATCATGTTTTTGCCAAAATGCATTTTCATACGCCACGTAAGCCCGGCTCCATTCCATGTGCGGCATGCATGCATGCGGGTCCGGCACATAGAAGCCTCCACCGATCCACCCACCCGACCTATCCATCCTCTATGTACTCGGAGCAATGCACTCCTATCTAATCAAAGTTTGGGCAACACTGCAGGTTTGGGTTGCACACTGCACATTCCACGTTGGACTTTGCTGATGCGGCAGCTTTAATTTTAATTGATGCATTTTCCGGACCAATCACCCACCCAAAACACACTCATAATGCTGGCCATGTAATTGCCCAAATCCTGCTGCAGACTGTCGAGTTTTGTAATTTATCTAAGCGTTGTCCGACAACTGATTGATTGCCATGGTTCCAAACACGAGGTGTCCAGAGAAGCATCACATTAATATCGGATTCTGTCTCTAACAATATCACTTTCAACACTTTAATAATTATAATA